TTTTTTCTTGCTTAAAATTACCATAAAAGGAAAATTTTTAACAAAACGGATGCGATCAGGAGAGAGTTTTTTTTTTTATTATATTTTTAGCTTTATTTTGATATATTTTTTATGAACTTATATATAGTAATTTTTTAAATAAGAAAGAGATAATTTCAAAGGTTTGTTATATATTGCATATTAAAAAATGGAACTATTAGGATCCTAAGCATTATTAGCATTATTTTAAACTAAATTTTAATTTTTTTAAATTATTAAATTATTTTTATATTATCTATATTTATTGTTTTAATTAAATTTTTTAAAATTTATTTTTACACAATATTTTTGTTAATATGTATAATTAATACACATACAGTAATTTCAATTCTAATATTATTTATTTATTTCATTAAGCTAATTAAATAATTTAAAATTATAGAAATTGTCGGACATTAAAAAATGCGGAAATGATCGCTTTTCTGCTCATTACCTCCATTTAAGTCCTACGCTTTGCTTCGGATAACTATTAATGTTTAATGTCTTAATTTCTATCGAACCTTTTAGATATAAACCTCATTATCTAAAGGTTGCTTGAAAAGAATTATTAAGAAAACAAATTAATCGCAAAACTAAATAATAATATTATATATAAAATTCAGTTAGCAGAAATCTCCAGCATTTCTATTTGAATCAAATAAATATTATGCATACCAGTGAATAAACTTCGTAAATACATTAAATAATGAATCTCAAAAAAGTATATTATTAGTATAATTCAAAAGTAAAAAACATGTACAAATAAATGGGTTTAAACAAAACAAATTTTTATAAACTATATTTCATTTCTTATTTTTTTTGCTCTTTTGATTCACTATTTTTACAATTTAACCACTAATGTTTTCATTTACTTTATCTCCCTTGACGTTTTCATATACTGAACCGATGATTTTCAGCCCTTCAGCACGTCTTCGTGCGGTAGGCTTTGGCACACTTGGATCGGACAGTACATTATCACATACTTCTCTTAAAACACTTTCTACTTCGAGCTTTGAACCTTTCCACAGAGCAGTCAATCCCTATAAAATTTGAGAATGAAGCAATATGAAAAGTGAGAATTAATGAATCAATGGAGATTAGCTATATAGAGAAAATTATATTAACCTTAGTTGCTGTTGCCTCTTCCAATTTACTTTTCTCTTGAGCATCTAATCCTCCTTGTTCAGCTTTTTGCAATTCCTTAAAAGATTGTTGTAAATCAATGGCTGATCGTAAAGTCGAAATGGTTTCCGAGAACACATGACCTTTCTCTCTAAGGATATGCCCAAACCGTGGTAAACCGAAAATCTGTTCTGAACCTAAATATTGCTTGGCCTTTAGAGAATAAGTAAAACCAATGGCGTGTAATAGTTCTACACCATATGACTCGTCTTTGAGCTCCTCTGCCTCCATTTCAATACGAGACTTAAACTCTTCGGCAGCAGAGTTATTAGTTTCACTTTCATCGACGTACATTGATAATTTATTTATTAAATTTGATACCAATTTATCAATACGTTGCTTTCTAATTTTCTCGCGTTCTTCGTCCTGAATCGTTTTATTAGATTCTCTTCGTAATTTCTCATCTTCCGGGATCTCTCCGTCCTCTTCCGCCGCTGCATTTTGTAATACTTCTTTCATGTCCCTGCCGATTGATATTTCTCCAATTATATCGACAAAGCGATCACCACCAAATTGTTGTTTAAAGAAATCTTCCGGATTCACTATACGATCATAAGAACACAGTTATTGAGAAAGAAGTTTTCTATCTAAGACACCAGAAATTATGGCGTTTTATTTACCAAAACCTCCCTCTGGCTCAACATCATTTTTACCACCAAATTCATTATACCGTCTCCTTAAGTCTGGGTTCGAGAGTACTTGATATGCATCTGATATTTTTTTGAACTAATGGAGAAAAAATCAATCAATGGACTAATTTACGATGTATTAAAATCAGATCGAAAGCATACCTGTTGTTCAGCGTCAGGTGATTTGTTTTTATCTGGATGGAATTGTAATGCAAGTTTATAATACTGTTTTTTGATCTCATTACTAGAGGCAGTAGGTGAAACACCAAGTATTTCGTAAAGTTCAGTTTCTAGAGGTTCTTTATCTGTAGGAATAATATCGAAGCATAAATGTTTGTTTTCAAAATGACAAAATTATATATTGATTCCTTTAATACCTGTCCCAAAATGCCTTCTTGGTTTTTTGATACCACTTGCGTTACTAGAATTAGGTTTCGAGCCGTTGGCAGCGGTAGCATCTGGGCTTATATCGAAAATACAAGTTTTTTCACAGGAGTAACAGAGGACCGATATTTTGGTAGACGCATTCAGCGTTGGCGGTGAAAACTCGAGCAGCGTGTGACAGTAGCTACACGACTTTTGAATGTATTCTGGTTTACGAGAAATTATGGGAATACCCATTTTGCAATTGAAACCAAAGAACTTATGGAAAGATTTATCCGATCAATTACGTATATCGATATTATCACTTTAAAGCGTATTAAAATTTTCGTGTCACATTCACATGTTTATCCCGAAAACCTGGTTAGGGGTAATTCATGCATTATGACATAATCAAATATATAGGCCAAAAATCTATTATTAAAAAATATTATTAGGTTTACTACACCAAATATAGAAGTTAAGTTTCAACTATTAATTTTTTTAATTTTTAATTTTTAATTTTTTTTTTGAATTCGGATAATTAAACTTTTTTTTTATGTAGCAAGATATTTTTTTTTTTTTTTTTTTCCGTAGTCAAACAAGTACGTACTGTTTATTGAATCTATACAGAAAACAAATAATATATAATACATTGTATTGCATAA